GCCGTTGGCGCGGCCGTTGGCGCGGCCGTTGGCGCGGCCGGGGCTCCGGGCTGGGGCGGCCGGGGTGGGAGCGGGGCCTCGGCAGCTGGGGAACGGACTTAAGCTTTCATATAGTTAATTTTTAATAWTTATTTATTTATTTATTTATTTATTTTTCCTCTAAGGTTCACCGTGTAAACAGGGCAGTGGCCGAGAAGGGGTTGGCTGGGGTAGCAGGCCCTGGTGACACCCAGATGAGCGCTGCCGTGTCACGTTTTCCCCTCTCTACCCAAGCAGCTGTTTCTTATCCCACGAAGAGGCTTTGGGCGCTCTCTCTTGCTTGTTTCCAAACCCTGTCTTTCACCTAGGGTTCGTCTCCACACCCTCTGCTTCTCGTCTCACCTCGGATGAAGTTATTCAGATGCGTAATGACCTCTTCACCAAAGAGAAGGAGCGGCAGCTCGCGCTGCACCCGCGAATTGAGAAAATCGAAGTTAAATATGTCGGAAAATCTCACCCGGGCAGCGTTTTTGTGATGAACAAAGCCTTGTCTACTCCATACAACTGTGCCATGCGTAAGTGGGTGGACGCTTAGCTGAGGCTCTGCCCTTGGCACAGCTGTGCTGCCAATTAAAGTAGCATAAAGTAGTATCCAAACTTTAAGTGTTAGCGTGGTTGTGGTTTTGGTGTCTGCAATAGGTGGTCAAAATGTTTAATATATGGTAGGTTAATAATATACCTGTGTTTAAAAAAAACCAAAACCCTGCAACCTAGTAGGAGCTGAGCTAAATTTTATACTTGCTTTAATAGCTTATCTTCCCGGTCCTTGCAGAAGGGAGGTTTGCAATTTGTTTTTAAAAATTTAGGGGGCTAAACTGCTGACTTTGAGGAATAATGTTTATGGCTCTGTTTGCCTTTTTTTTTTTTTTCCCCACCTCATTTTCTTTAGACTTAAGTGAATGGCATTGTAAGAAATCAGTACTAGCTCTTGTGGATGGCGAAGTCTGGGATATGTATAGACCCTTGACCAAATCATGTGAAATTCAGTTCCTTACTTTCAAAGATGAAAATCCCGAGGAAGTAAACAAAGTAAGTCAGTGTGTTACACAATTACAGGTGACTGATTATGGTCACAAGGGCCCCTGTGCCCATGTTCATCTGCTCCCTCAGTTTTGTTGTCATGAAGGTTTAGGTATTTTTAACCTAAATTSGTTTGTACCCTATTTAGTGTGCATGAATCATGGTTGTAAATAATTGGATGAGGATGTTAGGCTAGGTGGTGTGCAGAGACCCCTTTCAATTTATGATATTGTATGATGTGAAGTTTAAATATCTCTGGGGAAGCCTCTACAGTTTTGATTTTGTTGATTGTTTTAATTATTTTTAAATGGAAGCTTAAATTCTAAAGAATATAATGGTTGAGTCGACTTTCGGGTTTATGTCTAATTCTGTTAAATGTTGATATTCTTTTGCAGCAAATAGCTGTTTTCTATCTGGTATGGGTTGTTTGCCTCTCAATAATGTGTCTGTATATTTGAAATTCCAGGCCTACTGGCGTTCCTGTGCCATGATCATGGCGTCCGTGCTGAAGAGAGCTTTCAAAGACGAGTACTCCGTGAATCTGATTAAAAGTCTAGAAGTACCAGGTGATACAAATGTTWTATAATTGATAGTCTTGTCTCTTTGTTTACAACGTGTGTCTAGGAAGCAGTGTTACTAAACAAATCAGAGGCTTCTGCAGTGACTGAAGGGACTTGGCATTCCTATCTATATTAAATGCTAAATCACAGAGTCCACGGAATGGTTGAGGTTGGAAGGGACCTTTAGAGACCCAGTCCCGCCCCTCTCTGCTCAAGAACTTCCTCTCTTTTTCCCCACAACAAAGATGATTGAGGGTTCTTAGCCTTTAGATGCGATCAGTGTATTCAAGTAATCCAAAATTTGCATTGGATTATGTTGTTAGGCTTTAAACTATGTTGACTTAATAACCCGTACATAAACGGATAAGACATATATCTGCTGTGAAGGGGCCTAGATGGACTGGAGAAGCCACAATAGCCTTTTTTTCCTAAACCCATTATTCAAATATTTATTCTAAAGTAGTGGAATTGCACTATGCTYTGAAGATGTCAGTGCCCTTATCCAGCCTGATATTGCTAGGAGGGAGGGCAGGATAAGACAGTCTCCAGTCCTAGATAACCCCGTAGAAAGAGTCRTTATCAAAAGAGTAGTGTGATATATTGTAGTTATTTAATTTACAGTAACCGTGTTGAATCTAGGTTCTTTGTTACAGTGCAGAAAGTTTATGGCAACTGAATTTCAGAAGTTTTGACTTKGTAGTTTGTTAGTTACTTTAGAGACCCAGTTGCTCTATGGTCAAGTACAAGAGAAGGGTACCCTAGAAGGTATGATACCGCTCTGTGAAATTTGCCCTAGTGATTCTGCATAATTTTGTGAGCACCTGATTTACTAAAAATTGCCATATATAACTCAAAGCTGGAAGCTTATTGAAGTATAGACAGAGTTTTGTGCGTACATGATCTCATCTAAAACTACAAAAGCAAGGAGACAAAGAGAAGAGAGATTGACTAATAAAACCTGACTTCTTAGGTACTTGATGTATAGGAACCTGGTGGATTGCTGGTCAGTTGATCACTATTGATGCTCTTTTAGTATTTTCAGAGTTTGTCTTGATTGTCTGGAAGGCATAGAGTTAGTATTTTGGTTCTACCAGGGTTTGGAGTAATCTTGCTTACTAAATTACATGGTTTTAGTTTACATATAGGAGTAGTGTGAGTTTGCTGGGTTCATAAGCTTGATTTTTAAGATCACAATAACTGAATAAATACACATGAATAGAAAACAGAATAAATAGAATAAATGGATATTATACTGCTTCAGGCACTTCAATTCCTGCTGTGTGTGTCACGAAAAAAAAATATTTTAGCCCTAATGTTGTCTAATGGCTCTTAAAAAAAAAAACCAATGCTTTAAAAACTTTATAACTGAACAGTGCAATTTGACTTTTAATGTGTGTTGCACACAAAGGGAAAAATGTAAAACGCACAAAATGCGGTTTCGTCTGTTCTCCCAGTTTTAAGAAATTGGGAATTTTTTGGGACATAGCAGAGTTTTTGTTTATCATTTGCTTTTTTAATATGGATGTATATTACTATCATTAAAAATAATTTGACATAATTATTTTTCATGCAATTAAATGAAAATGGTACAGTTCCAATCTGACATTTAATCACAGCTGAAAAGTTAGATTTTAATAATGGATCTTTTTGTGCTCATTCTATTTCTCTTCTCATTCATTTTCATATATTTAGAAGAGTGTTTGTAAATATTTTATTACAAACCACCKTTTTTTTCCTCTGTGTAATTACAGTGATCTCTGGAGCTTTCTGCTATGATGTAACTTTAGACAGTAGACTCAATGACTGGAAACCAACAAAGGTAAGCACAATAACTTGTCTTTTGAAAAACTGCATAGCTTACATCATTGTCAGATGTGTTGTGGTTTTTTTTGTGGAGGAAAAAAAAATCCTATATCTTTAAAAGAACATTAAACAAAATTAATCACGTTAGTGGTTTATTTTAGGTCAGGAATTTGCTTTGGGAGCTAATCTCCAACACTTACTGTATATTGACACTCTTTGCAGTGTGGTGTCGAAGCGTGCAAACTGGATTCCTTTCAGATAAAATTCTTAGGRATTGGGGCTAGAGGAGCTCTACTTGAAAATAAAATTCTATTCTTGGGACATGGAATTCTTGGAATTAATATGGTTAATGTGGCCATTGGGACCTCAATGTCTTCTGTGTTTCTATACAGATTTGATCATCTTCAACCATGCTTACTTGGTAACGTAGATGCAGCCACAGGCATATAACATCTGTGTGAACGTAGTCCTATGAAACTAAAAGTGTAATTTGTGTATTTTTAGCATTTTTCAGTGCTTTACTGCAAAAAATCAAATTATTAAGAGACCCATGAGTGCATTCAGTGGAAACACTCYTTTTAATAGTTTGTATTTAATGCTCTTCAGTACATTTTATCATCTACAGACTTTTAAGTCTCTTAGCTGTTTAGTCGTCTGTGCGATCATGATCATTTTACTTTTCTGGTGCTTATTCTTGTTCTCACTTTGAAGCATCAGGAGAAATATGTGGGTAGCAAAGCAATACTAATGATATGCTTAATTTTTCTTCGATATGATCTTGTAGTTGAAGTAACTCAGTTTGAAATAATTTTGAAGTGACGTTATACATCTACTACATAATCTGTCTTATTTAGTGACAAATCAGACATACGTAAAGCTTTAGTWTGAGGGCCAAGACTGCAGTTAATTATTCAGTCCTTCTTTCCTCTTTTTCCATCAGAAGACAGGTAATTCCTCACARAGTCATAGGATATAAATAGGATACAAAGTACTTAGTAGCAAGTTTGTGTGCATATATCAGCTTGGGAGAACATAAGGAGTTTAATTCGAATTAAAATATGTTGAGTGTGATAGGGACATGCCTATTGATTTCGCTGGACACTGAATCAGTGCATGTAAGTGGTGATGAACTTTAGCATCAGGTAGCTGAGGATAGAACTAAAAATCTTCATATTTGCTATATTCTTACATTGATGATATACAGGAGATGATTCTGACTGATTTCAATACTATCTGATGCTTTCCTGTGCTTTGTCTATTAAGTGTGGCTGAGAAACAGCGGTAACAGTCTTCTAAGTAWAAATTCCTATTTTTAGGACAACTTCCGTTCTCTTACAAGGGATGCCAATAAGCTAATTCATCAGGACCTGCCATTTGAAGCACTGCATGTGGAAGCAAAGGTAGCATGTGAGATGTTCCAGCATAACACGTAAGTGTCTGAATTTGCTTTTGTTTTAGAAGGGCACATAGAGATGAAATTGAATCTGTTGTTTAATATAAGTCTAAAATAGGGTGTGATAGATGAAGTAAGAAGGTGGTTCTTCCACTGCTCTGGGTGTGTTTCCACTGTCTTCTTTATACTGGCTGATCTCATCTTTAATCTTCTCTTTGAAGACCAACAGCAGGCACCTCTATTGGATGTAATGTCATGAGAAATGGAAAGTTATTTTAAAAGGATGCTTCAAGATTTCATCAGTTCTATGTTAGAGGAACTCTGGATGGTTAGGCTCCACGTGCTACTTTACTCTTAGCTTTAGAAAGGCTTTCATATTCAAAGAAATGTAGAGTTGTCATTTTTTGCTATTTTTCAAGTGAGGGTTTGGTGCCGTACTGGAAGGGGCTGTTTGTCCAGAAATGTTACTCAGCTCTACATGGGGAGTAATGGTTGGAATGTCCTGGCCTTTGATACAAAAGCTCAGCTCAAGGCACTTGTCCAGTCTTCTTAGCTGAAAAGTCRCTATTTCAGGGTATTCTGGTGCCTGGGGAGGGATGGGGTGAAACGGTTGGTAGTGTATCATTTTGTGAACCAGAACAGAATTTTGTTGGACATTGAATTTGTTGTGAAGTAACGAGCATTTTTAGATTCATAATCCAGGTATTATTCATATGAGCAGCACACTCTGTCTTCACTATAGTGGCTAATGGGCGTTGACAGCAGCTGGGAGCCTAGCTACTGGAAATGACTGTAGCTACTTTAAATGACTTTAAGCACCCACCATATGTGCAAAGAGCGCAGACCACCCTGCACTGTCTTGCAGATTACCAGTTGTTCAGGATCACCCACTGTATAAAATCAGTGTGGGTGATCTGATTGTATCTTCTGGTCTTAATGGCTGACTTGAAAAATGCCTGCTTCATTGGTAGCAGTAAGTTACTTTTAGCTTTCTGAATGAAACTATATAGAGAGAGCATGGCCCTCCTGTATGTTTTTCTGAAATATCAACGCACATTGGAATATGAAATTAAGAATTTAAAGGTGCTTCCTTKAAAGGAAGCATTATGTTATGCTTCCTTTATAACAAAGGAATGCTTCCTTTATAATTACTTCCTTTATAATATAAAGGAATGTCCAATAGCATAAATGTGAACATAATTTCTAAAAAACRCTCCTGCTATTCTTATGAGAATACTTACAGATTACATATTAAAGGTGAGGTTTTCTTAAATCCTTTTTTGTCTTGTTCAGATACAAAATAGAGATGATAAAAGAGAAAGCTTCGCAGAACACTGAAGGAATTGTAACATTACATAGGTGAGTAAAACTAAAATTCCATTCTGTAATGATTTTCTGAAAGATCTGTTTTTATCACAAGTAATATCTGCAAGCAAGAATGGTAAGTTGATTTTGATATTTTTTAAACTTAAAAATTTGCTTATTTTTTATTGTCTAAGTTTATTTTATACCTTGATTTTATGACAGTTAACTTTTGGTGGCTGTTGTTAAGTAGCTATTTTTTAAAAATTTATAATTACAATTTAATTAGTTGATAGTTTTAGGTATAAAGTGCTGGGAAGTCTTACTACTTAGACTTTTTTAAACTTTAAATAAATCCCTAGAGATTGCAATGTAAATGAAACACAAGCCAAATACTTGTTTAAAAATAAGTGCCAGTATTGCTTTAGTGTATATATGTGTGTGTGTGTGTATATGCATATTATATGCATTTTTTTTTAAACAAAGCTATCAAACTTCGCATAAATGACAAGCTACTGACCGTAACAATGGAGATGAGAATGCAGTTGGGTCTTTAGATGCAGACTAAGATGTGAAATTCTTATGCTGGAGACAAGAATCTTACTGTAACTCAGATGTAATAAATATTTTTTGTGCGGTTTTTTTTTTTTTTTTTTTTTTTTTTGATTGGCTTAGGTTTGTCCAAGATGCCTAGAGAATTGTTATCTGATTTGTTTTTCCATTTGATTTTTGAATCTGTGTCTCTGTAAGTGAAAATAAGTCCTTGCAGTGATGGCTTTTTAAATTTTAGAGCACTACTGTCTTCTCTTCATGACTTTTTCCTCTCCTATCACTCTTTAGTTTGCTGAGTAAAAAAGAAAGAAAATGGGCTTAATGATGAATGTCTGGAAGACGATTGTGTTCTAAAGAATCTTTTCTTAGATGTCTTCCCTTTTGTCCCTTGTTCTTTTTTTTAATTGATTTGTGATTTTACAAAACATGAAAATGTGTGTGCAGGTGATAAACATTAGACTATTAGACTGCTGGAAATGTGTGATCTTAGAGACAAATGTTTCTCTGGCAGTATACCACTACAAAACCACCATGGCTTGAAAGATTTGGATAAGCCTCAGATCTTTCTTCTGGACATGAGGTTTGGATTTCCTGAATTCATTTTAGGAAACAGTGCTCCATACACTCCTTCTTTAGAAACCTAGAAATGATGAACTGGGATTGATTTGGAAGCTGTTTTGTCTTTTTTTTTTTTTTTTTTTTTTTTCCAATTCATTTTTACAGTGTTCTGATATTTTTAATCATAGTTTTTCTTGGCTTCTATCCCCAGGTTTGGAGATTTCGTAGATGTCAGTGAAGGCCCTCACATTCCGAGGACAAGTTTCTGTTACCAGTATGAGATAACAGCAGCCCATAATCTTCAGACTAAGCAACCTGAGTTGATAAGGAGGTTCCAGGGTGTATCCCTGCCAGTCCATTTAAAGGTAACTAATCCATTTTCTCTCTCTCTCTCTCTATGTATGTATATACAAATAAATATATATTTCTTTTAAAGAAAAGGCATTTGGTCTATTTTCAGATCTTTGTTAAATGTCATGTTAGTAAGTGAACGTAAGTCAGAGGTGCTGTGAACAGTAGTAGAAAATGAAGGCCAGGGATAGTGACAGCCTTAGTTATTGGAGATTAATTTTCCTGGGACTGTTTTGAATGTGAAATCAAAACTTTGGAAGTGCATCAGAGCCTAGTATTGCAAGTGTGGTTTTTGTTGTGCGTAGTGTAGATGTGTTTTTAATTGCACCTGCCAGCCACTTTGCCTGCTATTGCTTATTCAGATTCAGGAAGAAAGCTGAACTTAGAATTTATACTCGTGGTAAGTGATGCCACATCATAACATTCTAGCAATAATCTGTGTGAACCTTGGCTTTGCAGAACTGTAGGTGGGAACAGGAATGAGTTTTCTTCTCCCTCTGCTGACTTGTATGAWTTTGGCGTGGGGTTAGAACCTGTGCTGCTACCTACAGTAGGGGAATTTTCAAGGAACAAGTGGCCACTGGTTTCTTGCTTATGCTTCGTGTACCCATCATTATCCCTCCCTCATACCATGCGAATTCCCAGTTTTGCTCTTTAGCTCTTCAGTGATTCCATAATATACAATAAATACATGTCATCAGCAGTGATTCAAGTCCTCCCTAATCCCCTAAAGTGACTCAAGCAAATTGCACATTTGAACCAGAAGTTGCRGTTTCTGAATTAAGGCTTGTTGTTCTTTTTGTGCCGTCATTCTTACATATGTCAGTGAAAAACTATTCTATTATAAAAAATTCCCCYCCCATTGTAACATCACTCAATGTCTCTAAATACAGGCTCACCATACCGTGTGGCACAGATTGCTGGAAAGGTCTAAGAGACTGGTAAGTCTAATCAGTGATGAAGTACAGCTTGCCAAATACAAAGATTCAGTGTCATAGTGCAGGATTTGAATGAGTAGAGATGAATTATATCTCTATTAAACTAAGAATGCTAAACACAGCAAGTAAAAAGTTGGATGCACATGATAATATCTTAATATCTTTGATAATACCTTAATATCTTTCTAATAGGGAACGTACTGATACCTTCTGATGTCTTTTACTTATTAAAATGCATTTTACCATTTAATAAAAGCATACACGGTTCAATTGATGTAATCTGTACTATCAAAAAAAAGCAAATTATACAGTTCTTTTCATTTACATATCTATTTGTGAGAATCCCACATACTTTTTGTAACAACCCCTTTAAGGTGTAATTAAATAATTATAACTTTCATTAGAATTTCCCCTTTCATTTCTAGGATTAACACTGGCGTAATGCATGTTTAAAATTTATTTTTTTCTGTTTTAATCATAATGAGGAATAAGGAAAAAAACACAAACTGAAATGACATTTAAACTTATCTAGATACCTGGATAAATTACAGTACACACTATTTGACACAGTTATAAGAACACAAAAAAACTTTTTTTTTGGTAAGTAAATGGTAGAATTGAAAGACAGTACACTTGGTGAATCTAGATGTAAGTTACTGGAGGTAAAAGGAAATTTTTCCAAGTAGTTGTAGCTCATTGAGCTTTTTCCAATTAAAATCTGCATAAAATATAAGAAAGTTTCCTGTCAACTTTTGCCCATCACACAAATAATGTTTTMAAAGTTAAACAGTGTCCTCTTAGTGAAGCCTTACACTGACTAAATTAATGCAATATAGCCAGTTTGTAAAATAAATGGAACCATAAAATACCACGTGCCACATAAAACCAGAGACTCACTTTAAAAGCATGGCAAAATGTAGGTTGACTTAGAATTAAATAACAAATTTCCAAAACGTTCAAATGTTTTACTTGTATAGCAGCAGAAAGGTGAAAACGCCTTCTATATTTATTGAAATCAGTTAACTAAGGATGTGTTATGAGCCTGGTCTGAAGGAATTTAACAGAAGAATAGCAAGAAAATGCTTCAAACTCGTGTCAATTTGGGAAATGATGATATATGTTGTTATATAAGCTGTCCGTTCTTGGGGAGGGGGCAGATTTCCAGGATGAAAGTAAAATTAAATCATATTAAAAAAAAAAAAAAAAACAATGTGTTTCTGCAGGTCACTGAAGAAAAATGCTTGGAAGCAGAAGAAGGCAGAAGTGATGGCAGTGCAAAAGATGCAAATGAAGAAGAAAAAACTGTCTCACTCTAAATTATCTTTAACCTGTAAATGTACATAATTTTTTTTTTTTTTTTACATGACTTGTGTTGGTAATTCAGCTGACTTGTGTGGAGTTAAATTAAAGATAGGTACAAAAGCAATATCACACATTTCAGTCTGTGTTTGAATTTTTGGCCACCATTAAAAAAGCTTTTTTTCCTCAAGTGAGTAATGAATGCTTTATTTGTGGTTACTCACCTTGTAACTACCCGAGTCTTCATCTTAACAGTAGTTGGTGTGTTTGTTGCACTCTGTGATTGGTGATTTGGCCTATGAACTAGAACTGAACTGGCAGCTGGTAGTGCCATCTCCCCTATCTTTGTATAATTTTAAGACCATTTGTTTGGTCTTCCATGAAGTAAATGTTGCTTTGCATTTTCTGACTGGTTGTATATATTTCTTGCTGGAGTTTCATAATGAAATTCCAGCTTTGTTTTCTGTAATAGAAACTCGAGACAAAAAGAAAGCCCTTACAGAAACCTGTARGCATTACAAAAGATTATTTAATGATGGGAAAGATTATTTCCTGATGGAATTAAAATTAGATAATGTTAGTATTGTCTATTTAGAAGCCTCCTTTTCCTTCAGCACAATACAGAATAAGTGCCCTTGATATACCAGGATATACTAATGCTATAAAGGATGCTGAAATATAATTTTCCAGAATAGGTCCAGGACTGTTGTCTATARCTTGCACTCCCAGTATAATATATATTATATTTTAAAATATATTTTTATATATATATATTTTTAAAAAGTATGGAGATTTCAGGTAATTTCTGTCAGATAGTGTTTTGACATTCTGTATTTTTACCCCTAGCTCATTAGAGCTTTTCTTAATAGACCAAAATAATTTTAGTGCTCTTTGAACTGCAAGTAATTTAATTTTAATCTGTTTTACTGTGTCTGTCATTAAGTATATYACTTGTTTCCTAATTCTACTATAGTTTTGCAAAAAATGTAAGAGTTCAAGTAAAATATATTTAAGTAAGGCAATCTTACCTAGCTTAATGAAATGCTGTACTCATAACCAGGTRAGTAAATAAAAGCTAAATGTGTCAGAGCACAGAACAAGGAATGCAAATGACAAAAGTAGCTTTCAGTGAAATTACAGAAGTCTACTTAATATATGTGCTGAAATATTTTGTCCTACGTGCTCCTCCAGTTTGTACAATTTTTAGCTACTCACATTTACTGCCATATGCTAAGTTTGAAGTTGGTTAGTAGTCTACTAGGAATCTATCCCAATAGACTGTGGTATAGATTCCTACGGAACACAGGGAATTTTAAAGTAAATTCCATATCCTTTTGGACTTTGATATTCAAAGAGATGATTTTTCCTTATTAATGCTGCAGATGGTGAGGATGTAACCTCAAGTTTTATAATACCAGATCCTTTTTTTTTTTTTAAATTTGTTCCAGAGTATGGACACACATTCTTTGTATATAAAAACTATAAATGATCTTTAGTATTAAATACTTGTATTTTAAATTTAACCTGATGCATTGAATGAGTTTCTTGTCTATTACTCAAGAAGCAAACATTCATAATAATGGAGGAGCACAAAACTTTTTTTTTGAGGTGTTTGTTATCTCTGATTTACTTAAGACAGTGAAATTATGCAAAGGGCAACTGATCTGGGTGGGCTCTTCTGAATCTTAAGCTTCCTACCTCGCCAACCCGTGCATTCGTCTTACCTGTCCTGAGTTTTGGGAGTAAAGTTCAGAAGCATCAATCTTGAATCCTATCACCGGCAGAGGAAGGTCAAACTCTTAGGATTTTTTTTTAACCGTAACTACTGCAATTGCATGTAACAAAGCTCTTGTGCAGGACAGACAGGGCTTTTTAATATTCAGTGTAGGAAAACATTTAAAAGAATACAGCTGTGCTGAAAAGTCTCATTTTAGTTTTGTATAGAAACCCCCCAGAATTTTGTTACCATACTTTGATTCTCTCCTCTTTTCTTCGTCTTGGAAGCTGCTGGTCCTTTATAAAGACCATGTTCAGAAGTAGGAGCAGGATTTTAGGGGGTTTCCTGAAGGAGTTCTTGCATGTTTCATGTGGTCTGAGGCCTAGGGGTTGCTGGTGAGCTGTTATAAACACTTCAAAGTTGCCCAAGGCTAAGTTTTAGGTCAACTTCAAATTCCAAAATTCAGATTGATAAGAAACTAGTCTCCATTGTTTGGTGTTCAGGCACTACTTATAAGATTATTCAACTAAAATTTGATATGTTGCATACTGTAAATTTCATATTTGTAGAGGCAGGCCAAGACAAATTTAGCATGTGCTTGCTATTTGCTATCTTTTCACTCCTAAAAATTGCCTAGGAAGAAATTCTGCTATAATAATCTTGGACCTTAGTTTAAGCTGCAGTACTGGGGATGGGTTTGCATTCAGATACAACAATTGTTGTAATACAAAATATACTTTAAAACTTCTTTAATTTTTAAGATGGGAAAAGGGTACACCTCCAAGTGTGGATGAACTGTTTGTCAATTGTCAAGACAAACAGTTGCCTTCCTTTGAGAAGATGGACAAAGGCAATTTCTTGCAACAATATCATTTGTTCTGTTACTACTTTCAGCATTCTTGGTTATGAATGAACATGCATGTTGTAAGTTTTCAACAGCAACCTAACTGCAAATATGAATCTAGCCTGGAAGAAGCATTTAATAAGATTTAATAAGTAAGCATTTAATAAGATTTAATAAGTAAGTTGAATAAGATTTAATAAGTAAGTTGAATTTGGAGGCTAAGTTGGGTTTGACTTTTGAATCAAGAATAATTTTGATTTTTCATTTATTTAATTGTCCAGGACTCATTCCCTTGGCTCTTCCTCTGCCCTCGATGGCTGAGCTTTGGAGCATGGTCAGCAGAACTTTGGAGAGAGAAGGTCCCTGTCAGGGAACTTTCCCAGCTGGATGAGCTGCTCCCTTGCCTGAGCTGGTGAGAGCAGAGGGGGCTCCTGCCCGCTAGGCCGGAGCTGTGTTTCGTCCGGGAGCGCTGCTGCCTCCACTCGCCTCAGCAGCCCCGTGCTTAGGATGGGTCATATTCCTAAATCCCTGAGTATTCCCTACCCAGTCTGTTTGAAGCAGTGCTGCTCTTAGAGAAAGATCTGGGAGATTCCTTGAGCAAGAACAAATGAAAAGAGTGCAGCCTGGCCGTGCCATCCACACAGCCGCATGTGGGCTTCGGGTACTCATCATGGGGGCCGCTTCTGTATTTTGTCATTCACTCTTGAATGTAAATGCTGCAACTATCTGTGCAAGAAGTGCTGTATAATAGCTATGCTACTAATACTCTCTGTATTTAAAAAATATTTTCATCCTGTAAATCTCAGAAATTTTGTTGAAGTTTGGCCTGGCTTGTGCCAGACATATGGTGAGCCTTGTGAAAGATTCTGATTTCCAGTATTTCCTATTCATTACCACTGCAGAGTGTGCTGGCTGCTTTGGACCTTGCTCTGGCCTGTAGCTGGAGTTATAAGTGAGCTGTGTAGGAAATTTCAAGCTATGGGGTAGCATAAAATGGTCTTGTGTATGAAATGGCCCTGGTTGTGTGTGACTCCCAGGTCTGCTCATGCAGTTCTGCACACTGCAGGTCCTGGCCCTGTGTTCTTCTTTAGAAGCAGCTCAAGCAGACCTCTGAGGTCAGTTCAAAGAGGAGAAAAAAAGAAGCAGGAAAGTCTCTATTGATTGCTATAGTTCCCCAGAGGCTACAGGGATTAGGGAAGAGTAAATGAATAAAAGAGATCCCAAGAATAAGCAGAAAATCCTTCTTCGCTATTTATTCTTTATGGCGTTTAAAGGAGCATTTTTTACTGTGTTCATTCAATAAAAGAAATTTGGGGCCAGCTAGAAGTGAGGAAGGATCTGAGATGCTGCCATGGCATAATGGCAAAGGAGGTGGAAGAAGGGGAGAGCTGGGAGTCTTAGGCCAATAGCAGGATTGAAAAAAATGGCTGAATTCTGGTTACAGGGGAAGAAGGTGAAACTGTAGCCTTCCTTGTCACACAGTTCCATAGCAGCTCCATAGCCTTTTTCATTTATAGAATCATAGAATGCTTAAAGTTGGAAGGGACCTCCAGAGACCATCTAGTCCAATCGCCCTGCACATGCAGAGTCACCCAGAGCACATGGCACAGGGCTGCATCCAAATGGGTTTTAAAGATCTCCAAAGATGGAGACTCCACAACCTCTCTGGGCAGCCTGTTCCAGGGCTCTGTCACCCTCACTGTCAAGAAATTTTTTCTTAAGTTCCTGTGGAACTTTCGGTGCTTCAATTTATGCCTGTTTCTACTTTGGTTCCACTTGTGTTTCTTTCAAAAGAGTAGAAATTTCCCAAATCACAGTTCTTGATGTTAGCCTAGGACTAGCATGTCCTTCTATTTATAGCTTTTAACTAAATAGGAGTCCTCATACTAAGGTTAAAGCTAAAGGAGACTTTGGTTATAACCTATAGCACCAGAGGAGCTGAAATGGGGCAGTCCCAGCTTTACATATGTTTTCTTTACTGGAGTGAGAGTATCATTCCAAAGAAATATTCTGTACTCCATGTTCTTATGGATTTTGAAGATGGAAAAGACAATTGTCATCTAACATCACTTCCTTCATAACAGAGGGAATTACATTTCAAAGAGTTATTTTTTCTTATCATGAAAGATTCTCCTCCCTGAGAAACCATGCATGTGCAAGCATGAAAATCCAAAATCAGCAGCAGACATTGAGTCCGTAATGACAGCAACCAGATTGAGACAGCTTCCCTATTCCATTTCAACCTCTGGAAAGCAGTAACCTCTTATTGCTATTTGGTGACTGATCTAATGCTAAACTACTTAGTTCCCTGCAATAGGTTGTTATATTTGAAACCAGTGAACTTGCTGGTGTAGTTATATTTATTTTATTAAGCTTTTTAAGTAATCTAGACACAGGAACTCAGTGTTATAAAGGCATTTGATGGGAAGAAAGGATAGAGGACATTTCTTGAAGAATACCAACTATCTGAAAATGGTAGTGCTGTCATGCTGTGATCTTTCATCAGATTTAACCCTAGTCATGAACAGCATTAACTTTTTTCAGGGTGCAATTTATTTTTTCTCTTTGCTAATGTAATATACACATATCTGTTATATATATATCTCATATCGATATTCATATCTATATATGATATATATATCTATATCTCATATCTATTTTCTGGGGAGTCTGGTAGGCAAAAAAAAGATACATATATGAGCTATAATTGCCATATTTATCATGGAATCACAGAATATTTAAGGTTGGAAAGTAAATATCTGCTATTTACTT